TGCTCTGGTATCGACTAAAATTTTTATTTTATGATTATTTACTAAAGTATTGATAAAAATTAGACTTGATTTTGATGAATTTATCATTTGCTTTCTGGAGTCAACACCATCTGTCGATGACTCCGCTAGTGAAAACTTGAACAAGACGAAGCGTCATGTCCAAATTGATTGCAAATCTGACATACAACAGATGAATCGGAACTATTGATATTATCGTTCTGAATTGATGAATTAGATGGAAATACTGCATTGACTAAACGTGAATTCGATTTAGCATTATGTTTAGAACTATTTTGAAACTGTTGTATACGGTTTTGTTTTCGATTATTATTATTACTACTTTTATTATTAGTTGATGGATTAAACTGATTTGAATGCGAGTACTGATACGAATTATAACTTTGTGTTTTATCGGATTTAGATGAACGAGAAGGAAGATAGGTAAATGATGTTGAAGCAGCATTATTTCCGAAATTTCTTCGTAAAGATGAAGTATAGTGATAATCAGAATTGTTGTAATAAGTCGATGGAAAAAAACTCGAAGAACTCGTATGTATATTACTATTAACCGGGTTCGAACTACGATGAGTACTTGTATCGATTTGAAGATTAGAAAGTTGTAGCAGTTCTTCAACTTCCTTTGCGAATTCGAGAAATTCTACAGTCGATTTTGGCTTTCGCTTACTTACTTCAAGTTGTATACTAGGTTTTACTTTATTCAATAAATTTTTGAGCTTTGTCGACTCACTCATACTGGAATCAGCAGCATTACATAGTTTTAAAACTTCGTTATACAAGTTACGAATTGACTGATTTTCACCTTGTGTATAAGACTTGAGAGTTTTGAAGGCTAATTCTTCAAAAAATGAAGATGTAAATACTTTTTAAATTTCTTGAACAAAAATACCCCAAGTAATTAATGCAGATTTATTGTTTTTAAACCACCGAAGTGCATCTCCATGTAGAGAATACGAAATCAAATCTAGTCGATGAAAATCAGGCACATGT